TATTGGGAGCTTTAAGATTATTCTGTTCATACATTTAATTTTATTTTTTGTTAATTTTGTTCAGACATGTTATAAGGGTCTTTAACGTGAAATTATTTTGGAACATAAATGTAAACGAGTCGAGCCCAAACTTAAATTACTCAGTTATGATTCGAGCCTTTATTTAATTAAGGCTCGATCTCAAACTCGGTAAATGAGATTCGTGCTTAAAAAAAATATATATTTTCAAGCTTCACTACTCTAGTTAACTAAATGAATTTTAAACAAATTTAAACTCGGCTCATTTGAATCTAATCAAACCAAACTGAACCACATGAATTAATGAAGTAATGAACAACTAATATCGTTTTAAAAACTCTAAATTAAAGTAGCAGGAAAATCATGTCAATAGCCAATGAATGCAGAAACAGCATATATATTATCACAACTAGAAAGCGTTGAGTTGTAAATTGTCATGACAGGGTATTCAACTCTCTCCCGATTGGTCGAATCAATTGCATCAAACCTTTTTCTATAGGCCCACTTGCAAGTTGTAAATTGTCACATATAGCTGGCAGATGCTTCTTTTATTATTGTCTTATTTGACATTTTATTGGGCCTTTGTAATGCTGCTTTTACATTAAATGTTACGAAAATTTTCATGTATACTTATTGATTTTTGAAATTTTTGCAATTTTACTATTGAAACCAATAAATTTATGTATATACTTAAAAGATAAAAAGTAAATATATTGATGTCTAAGCATCTTCTCTCTCCCCGTAATTCATGCTTTCCGTTACCTTATCAAACCAAACCATCTTCTCTCTCTCCCCCGTGAATTCAGCATGTTGTTATAAAAAAAAAAAAAAAAAATTTGATTCTGCATGTTGTAACGATAACAATACAATGTTATGTAACCAGACATATAACCCTACATATATACCAGAAATATACCAGAACAAAGCAATGTTATGTAACCAGACATGTAACCCTACATATATACCCAACATATACCAGAGCAATGTTTCATATATACCCAACATATACCAGAGCAATGTTTCATATATACCCAACATATACCAGAACAATGTTACATAAAATATACTTTAAATATACACTAAAGTTTCAATCGTTTCTCAAAAATGATTTCAGAACTCACATATACATAAAATATACATAAGATATACATTCGAGATTCTCGAAATTCAAACCAGTGACAGATCGAG